AGTTCAGTTATTTTGACCCCACTCACATCTGAAGAAATCCAAGCCTTTAAAGCCAACACTTTTTTGTTGGATGTTTATCTCAGCCTTGTAGTTCAGCCCAGGGCACCAGCCAGCCAGCACCGTCACACCCTGGTAGGTAAACTTAAAAAAAAAAAAAAACCTTTTAAAATTAATACGTGTCCATTGTTGGAAAATTTGAAAGTGGAAGCTACCAAAAAAACTTACTAAAATGATTCATAATCCCACTCTCCAGGGTTAAGATACTTTTTTATCTTTTTGGTGCAAATGATCTAGTCTTTTTTGAAGAGTATATACCCTCTTCTCACACAGCTTTTTTGTGTAACAACGTACAAGGAAAAGATTTCAATAATTCATTTTTTTCAATTTGGGAATAAATTTACTTGTGTACTTAGGTAAGAGGCATTGTGAGTCTTAAGCTTTTTGGCTGCTAAGCATGAAGTGAAAAGGAGAAAGAGATATACCGTATGATTTTCACTTATTTGTGGAATATAAGGAAGAAAAAAACAACAAATAAACAAAACAAAAACTACCCCTTGGACTCGACAACAGAAGGGTGGTTACCAGAGGGGAAAGAGAGGGTTGGGGATAGGTGTAGGGGGCTGATTGGTGGCTGTGGGTGCGGATGGTGTGATATATATAGTCACTGAGGTGAGAAATTCCACCTAAAACCTATACTGTGTTGTAAACCAATGTCACCTCAATAAAAAGGGGAAGGAAAAAATCTAATGAGGCTGCCGTTCAGGTGGATGTGGGGGCAGAGGGGTATGGAAGGGCACCAGGCAGGGGAGAGGCAGACCTTTTTTTATATTATAAAGTGTAAAGCATTTGTCCTTAACCCAAAACCAATAGAAACCCATTGAGGAATTTGGAAATAGGAAGTTGAAACATTCAGATATTTGGTTTAGGAAGATTCTGGGAGTTCGGACAGAAATGGGGGTCAAGGATAAAGCTACGTAGGAGGCCAGTGAGGACGTCCCTGTAGTTGTATCAGAAGGAGATAGCGTGGGGGAGGGGTAGTGGAGGTGGAGAGGTGGGTGGCACCCAGGGGTGTTTTGGAAGGAGGGTGGAGATGGGGACTTGGCTGTGGAGTGGATGAAGAAGGAAGCAGGGAACTGTTAAACTCTGTGGATAAATGGAGACGCCCTCGTCAGAGGAATGGGGCACACTGAGCGGGGAGCTTGGGAGCAGAGCCGGGACGCAGATGATCAATTTAGGTTTGCACAGAGGCGTCCGGCAGCAGCCGTCCATCCAGGCGCTTCCATCAACTGACAAAGGATCCCTCTTCCTGCAGAGTGGGCAACTTATAATCACTAAAGCTGATTTTCTTAGCACAATCAGGAAGCAAATTGGGGGGAAGGGATAGAAAACTACCTACGCTGCGTCATGATCACTCAACATCAGTTTCCTTCAACTCCTTTAGCCACGCTGGGGATGTGTCAGGTGAGAGAAGGACATGGAGGAACAAAGAGAAAGGGATTCTGCTTTATCCCCATTCTTTAAAGCGCCCAAGATAGCAGTCACTTGGTTCAAAGTGGATGAACTGAAATCCACCACCCCTTTCCAGCACCTATGACATGGCAGCCTCAGTGACCACCAGAATTCTCTTTCTCTCAGTCCCTCCCAGGAGCAGACTCAGAAGCCACATCTTTGTGGTCTGGTGTGCAGAGACCTTATGTTTGAATAGAGGCAAAGGTAAAAAAAAAATAATAAATTTAATCAGGACAGTAATCAAAACTAAATTAAATTCACATGTTAAGTAGGCACTGCCAGTGCTGTCAAGTGATTAGGATTAAATAGAAATATCTGTTTTCTTTTGCTCCCTCCCCTTCAACCTTTCCCAGTGTTGGTTTTTTCCCTCTAAAAGTAAAGAGAAGTCTTAACAAGCACCTCAGTGACTGATGTGGAGTTCTCTTGGAGTTTTCAATTTGGCTGTATTGATTTATAAGGTCTTTTCAATTACTGAATTCTTCTTGGAGGCTGCGCGTAGGGCGAGTACGTGAGACTCATGCTCTATTGATCCCAGGTACTTAGAAAGGGGGCATTTATGTGTCTGCTTTAGATTGATGAAGTTGCAAATAATGAAGCTTCCCACGCAACATTTATTAAATGAAAATCTAGAATTCATTAACACAGGAACTTGTCTCGTATTAGAAAACGACGGGGGGGGGGGACTTGGGAAAAAAAATAGGGACTACGGTAGTTATCATGAACATAATATATGAAGCAATTTGAATTCAAGGGAAGGCAATTTTGAATCTTATTAAATTTTCTTCTCTCCTTTTATTGTGTGAGCACGGTTGGGTGGCTTCTGGGGAGTCATCGATCAAAACACAGGTGTGTGGGGAGGCGGGGGTTGGAAAAAGAGACCGGTTCCCAAATCCTTGCTCTAGTTAAAATGGGACTGCCACTCTGTGCGTAGGTGGCCCAAGAAGTGGAAAGTGAATGAATGAGTGAGTGAGTGAGTGAGTAAATGAGTGGATCGGGGTTAGGAAAGACCATTGAACATCAGCTGTGGTTGCCAAGAGAAGCTGCCACAGATACTTAGCTAAGCCCTGTTGGGCAGTTTCCAACTCATTTCACTCATTCATTTATTCACTCACTCACTCACTCAACAAACATTTACTGTGAACTACCCTCGGCAAGGTATTATGTTAGGGTTTCTTAACAGTTTCCTAAGGTTGTCCAAATAAATTATTTGTAACTTCATCATAGGGTGGCTTAAAATAACAGAAATTTATTTTCTCATAGCTTTGGAGGTTAGAAATCCAAAATGAAGCTGCTGGAGGCAGCGTCACGTCCCCTCTGAAGGCTCTCGGCAGAATCCTTCCTTGCCTCTCCCAGCCCCCGTTGGCCCCAGATGTTGCTTGGTTCCTTGGCATTGCTCCAACCTCTGCCTTTGTCTCCACATGGCCGTCTCTCCTTGTGTGGGTGTCTCTTAGGCTCCCTCTCCTTATAAGGGCAGCGGCCATCGGCGATGGGGCCCACTCCTTCCAGGATGACCTCATCTAAACTTGGTAACATCTGCAAAGGTTCTGTTTCCAAATAAGGTCATATTCCCAAGTTCTGGGTGGACATCACATTGGGGGAGACACTGTCCAACCAAGCTCAAGCGTGAAGGGGGTAACACAGATTGCCCCTCTGGGGCTCACAAGTCAGCAGCAGAGACAAGAGGAGCACATGTCAGCATAGAAACACAAGTCCATGCTTGTAAACATGCCTCCCACGTTATAGCATGTCCAGCTGGCAGCCTGATTTAGCCCCTCAAATCCTGTCTGTAACTTTGCGAGATGGAGGAGACCAATGCTCGTTTTCAGAGACAAGGAAAAGGAGATCTAGACGGTGAAGTCGCACAACTGGTGAATGGCACATCTGGTCTTGCTAGTTCCTTTGACGTGCTTAACGTAGGGAAATTAGAAAACACAGGTATGTATAAAGAACCTGGTAGAATCCAGCCGCTTACAGGTAAACACTTAAATTTTGGCGTGTCATCCTTCTGTGGAATTTGCAGTGGACATCTTATCTGCTGAGCAGCCCCATTCTCATCTAATTTTCTCATGGCAGGCTCCCGGAAGCCAGGCCTGGGGAGCAAGACCTGACCCTAGCTGTTGTCGATTAAGTCAGGCTCAGGCACCAGGCCCAGATGCACACGGGGTCCACCGGTGTCTAGAGTAGGAATTTGGACTGGAGACTGAGGAGTTTCCAACAACAGCCTTACTGATCCCTGCAGTGGAACAGGCGAGAATCTGGAACAGGCAACACCACACTGTGATAAAGGCTTGGAAACAGCAGAGCGGTCTGCAGTGAGGGAGAGGCGGAGGCCAGCTGAGAGGGAGTTTCAGAGATAATTCCCATGATCCAGCCGCATCGTATACCTTTGAGCTCTCTGTCTATGCTTGTGGCAAACCTTCCTTTTCCAAGTCAACCAGAGTGAAAGGTTTTCAGTTACTGGCAATCAGTATGGCAAGTGACAACAAAAAGGACCCCAATGTCTAATTGTAGCTTAAACCATGAAGCCATGTATTTATTTACCAAGGAGGGTGGTTCTGAGTTGGTTCCATCTTTCTGTGTTGCCTCCCCTGACATATAGGAAAGGTCTGTCCTCAGAGTCCCAAGATGGCTGCTGCCATTCCAGTAATCACATCCTCACCAAGAGAGTGTCCAAAACCAGGAAGGGAAGACAGCTAGAGCAGGAAAGAGCTTTCTCTGCATTATCGCCAAAGGAGTTTCTCTACTAATGAGGGGGCAGGGAGGAGAATTACTCCCTGAAAGCCTCTGGGCAGATTTTCTTTATGTCTCAGTGGTCAGATCTGGGTTATAGAAGTAGTCATCATTTCTAGACCTGCCGCCGGATGAGGGAATGAGTAACAAGTCTTAATTAACTGTGGGGCTAAACATACTGATCCTATAGGGCAACGTCAGAGCCCATGAGTCAGGAAGAAGGGGATGGAATGGTCCTGGCAGGGTAACCAGTAATCCACCCCATGTGTCCTTTCCAATTATTTATTTTTTAAAGATTTTATTCATTTTAGCATAGAAGAGCTGGGGCATAGGCCAGAGGTGCAAGGGGTGAGAGGATTCACCAGAGGCAGAGTGGGGAGCAGAACAAGTAGATCTACTGAAAAACAGCAGACGAGACAGAAGAGGTCTCCTGTGCCATAGCTGGGTTAGCATCCTGGCTGGGGATTGAACTCAGGCCTTAGCGGTCAGTGACAGCGCTGAGACTTAACCCCTAGGCCAGCAGGGAGGCCCCACTCCATGCCTTCTAGTAAACCATCTATAATGTTTTTTCAATCTACAATATTCACTTAAAATATCGGGACCATCTTTCTATTTTGATAAGTGCACAAGGTGCATGACTTTCCCTGTTAGAGTATAAAACAGAGACTCTCAGCATAGGTGGTGCAGCCTGGGTGATGCCCCCACCCCTCTGCTGTTGCCCTGGCAACAACCTATCCATTCTCTGAGTGTGTTGTCAAGGACAATCGTGTCTCAGTCTTCCTTTTGTTAGAGACTTTTTAGTTTTCTCCCTCAGGTAAGACTCAGGTCTCTAGAGAGGAATCATCTCCTTCCTCCCACTTCACAACACCCTACTTGCTCCTTCTCCTGAGGCTGGACAGTCACCCCCAAAGGCTTAGAAGGGGAGTCAAGGAGGCGGGAAGAGCAGATCCACAGGGCTTTAGGGTGGAGGCTGTGTTCGCTCTTTGGGGACGCTGGGGGTTGATCAGGGATTCCTTGACCCGAAAGTGACCTAAGTGAATGGCCAGCACAGACTGACCAGGGCGATGCTCCTTTGACCTTCGAGCTCCTGCTGGCCTTGGGAAGGGAGGGCAGGGGCTTACGGCATCAATGGTTAAGCGCGCAGACTTTGGACTTGGCCTGACCTGGGTTTGACTCCTGGCTTTGACTCCTGGCATAGAAGCAAGTTACTTAAACTCTGAGTCTCGATTTTCTCACTTGTGAAAGGGGTATAATCATACCTACTCTGCTGGGCGTGGTGTACAGACAGGGGTGATGTGAATGTGTGGAGCGGAGAGCCTGGCAGGTAGAAGATGCCCGGGGAGGGATTGCCGCTGCTGGCGTTGGAATAGGGTTTTCCCAGCGCTGGTCCTCTCCCCACCCCCCACTCAGTCTCCCCCATTCTCTATGTCGGGAAGGGATAACATGCAACCGTGGTCCTCAATTTCCTGTCTGTAAAGAGGAAAAATAATGAAAAGAAACTATCTATCCAGTGCGTTGTAAGTGCTTGGTAAACAGTAGTGATTATAATGCGTATTACCACTGCCTGTGCGGCGCATTTAGCAATGTGTCCAGTGCCTCCCAGGAGCCAAGTCCATGCTTGGTTCTGGAATTTAGCAGTGACCCTGACCGTCTCAGGTGCTCCATCCCTCCTGGGGCTGAGACACACTTTTGACAGGGGAGCAGGCATCCAGCACGGAGCCAGCCCTTTAAACAGAGCTTTTCTTTCAGTCCTCCCTGGAATTATGGAGTTGGGGGTGGGGAGCAAGGATGGAGATGGGTGAATGAATAGGAATAATGATCTGTCAGGAAGAAGCGAGTGTCAGCAAATGCAAAGGGACATTGAAGAGCTGCTGTCTCGGTGGTACCGGGCAGAGGCTCTTCTGGGCAACTTTCTCCAGCCCTGGGAGATGTTTAAATGCATCCAGTTCAGCAGGCAAAGTAAGTCTGGGGCTGTGCTTCTGAAGCTCCAGTTCTTTGGGGCTGGAAAATGTGAGCTGTATTCAGTAGAGCTTGGGGAGCAAGGACTCACCCGCATCTTCTCCATTGATGTACTTGACCTAAAATGCAGCCTCGGCTGGAAGGAGGCTTGGGAAGCATGAGGACAGAGAACGTTAGTCTCTGTTGATGATTGGCCCCAGTTTGGAAGGGTTAAGAGCCTGGGCTCTGGGGCCAGAATGCCTGGGTTTGAATCCCTGCTCCTCCCCTTACCAGCTGTGTGACCTCAGGAAGACCACCCCACCTCTCTGAGCCTCAGCTTCCTTATCTGTAAAATAGGGATGAAAATGACACCTACCTCACAAGGTTGCTGCAGGAATTCAATGAGACAACACATCCATGATCCTGGTTTTCTCATCAGATGTCATGACTGCAAGGCAGGATCTCTGTGCCCAGTTCACTGAAGGGAAAACTGAGAATCAGGTGGGAGGTGCTGCCTCAGAACTGTCTTTATTTGTCTAGTACCTATTAGGTTTTTAATTTGCTGCAGAGTCCCATATCATTCTGTTGATAGGTAGGTGACCACTGACTGCATTCATGCAATATGTTGAGTTGAATGAATGAATGGATAACTGAATGCAATCAATTGTTTTATATCAGAAAGTGGTTGAGGGACCCTGATCCCATATGAACAATTCTGTGGAGCTGGGAGTGTCAGGTGGGTGGTGATGCAGGTACCAATAGCCACTATTGACTGAGCACCTACTGTGTGCCTGGCCCCTTGCCAAACACATCACACGCATTCTCACAGGATGTACAAAGTCATCCTGTGAATAAAAGCTTCTTTACTTCCACTTTGTAGATGAATAAGCTGAGTCTTATGAAGGTTAGAGAACTCACCCAAGGTCATCCTTTGGGTGGCGTCAGTATTTGGATCCTCTGACACCAGAGAGTGCGCATCTGGTCTATACCGCATTGCCAAGAGGAGGTGAGTGACTAGCCCAGGTCACACAGTGGAAGTGGCACATCCCTGGCAGGTGCAATCAGGCTGCCTGTCTTCAGTTCTGCCCTCTTGGCCCTGCAGACCTCCCTGGTGCAGACAGAAGCCCATGTCACTGTGCCCAGGCCCCCTCACAGCCTCAGGGAAGGACAGAAAGCCTCAGTCAGGGTCGGGGGCTCAGCTGTTCCCTTCAGACCCTGCTGTGGTTGAGTGACTTTCCAGATTGGATCCAATTTCCAGCCAGAGCTGAAATGTGTCAGACGCTTGGCAGCAACAAGCCAAGCCGGCCAAGGGCAGTGGGATGGAGGCGGCTAATGATTTGCTAGTGGCGGCCAATTACCAGCAAATTGTCAGAACATGGTAGTTCGGGAAGATGGTGTCAATGATGGCTCCATGTCTGGGCCAGACAGCCACAGTGGAGGGAGGTCAGGGCATTCCCCTGGAGCCACTGCCCCTGCGGGCTGGCATGCATTTCCATCTCAGACACCAAAGGCAGCAAAAGAAATGAGAAAAAAAGGTGCATTTGGTGTGTCTGCCACCGTGGCCTATAGAATCCTGAAATGGCAGCCTTGTTGGTACAGGGGACACACAACAAGCTCATGCACAGGAGCAGGGCTTTGGTTGACCAGTAGGATGACCTTGAATTTATTTATAAAACAAGAACTTGTTTATTTATAAAATAAGAATAGTGCTGTGCTTCTTGTAGACTCGCCAGGTCACTTAAATGAGTGAGGACTGATCAAAGCCTTCCTTAGAAGGGTGCCTGGTGGCCCTAAGAGCTCCGTGCAAAGCAGCCTTGGGGTGCTCAGGTGGTTCTACCCTCCAGCTGATGCCCCTTTTGCTCATCCCTGACCCCCAGCCCTGGCCACTTAGTAGCTCTTTATCGAATAAGTCAACAAAATGGCTACTTCCTGCCTATCTCCAATAATGGGATATCCCCAACTCTCCGAGTTGTTGAATTGCAACCACTTTGCTGCTTGGAGTGGTCTGGGCCCTTTTACTCTTCCTTTCCTGGTCTCAGGAGCAGGAGAGGATGGTTTTGAACCCTTGATCTGCCATTTCCAAGACCTGAGTTGGGCAAGTCACTGAGCGTGCTTCAGTTTCCTCAAAGGGGACTTGTAATAGCGCCCTCCAAGGGTTGTGGCGAAGTTTCAAATGACCAAGCTGTGTCTGTGTACACATATTCTTCCCTGTGTGTAGATATGAGTGTCTGTGGCGTGTGTCGCACATAAGCACGTGCCGAAGTGCATGGGAAATAGCAGTCCCTGGCTCGTGTTGGCCATTGGTATTACAATAATAACATAGCTATTCATTTATTAGTATTGTTGATTACTAATAAGCTTCCCATATGGTCTGCCTTGCGAGGATGAGCAGAGTGAAACCCTTTTATTCGAGTCAGCACAGTAGCCAATGATCATCTCACACTATCTCCTAGGCAGGTTCTGTGGGTTGGAGAGGCTCACGCCACTAAGGGGGCCTCCCCATGCTGTGTCTCAGGATCCCCTGTGGTGTTCATGCCCGGATGTGCTTCTTCCAAAGGCACCCAGCCAAAGACAGCACCGCGGGTAACGGAGCTGGCCAGTCCTGCCCAACATGACAACCTCTGCAGTTGTTTCCCGAGGCCGCTGGAACAAATTGCACAAGCTGGTGATTTAAAATAACTTGAATGTATTCTCTCACAAATCTGGAGGCCAGAGTACAAAATCAAGGTATTGGCTGTGCTCCCTCTGGAAGCTTTAGGGGAGAATCCTTCCTTGCCTTTCTGGCTCCTGAAGGTCATTGGCATCCCTGTACCTACATGACTCCATTCTCTGCCCCATCTTCACATCACCATCAGACCTATAAGAAGGATGACATCCCCAGCATGGCTTGGCACAGAAAGTGCTGGAATCTGCTGAGGGAGTCGAGATGATGATACACTCCAAAGGATTTGCAGGACCTGTTATTGGGCTCCATCAAGAGGACAGCATAGAAAGTTGTGTTAAAGAGAATTTGTTATTACAGGGTGTTCTTCACATCCTGTTAAATAGGATTTAACTGCTAATTAGTTGGCCCAGGTTCCATTCCTGATACATTGCTCACATAGATCATCTGAGTTATCTTTGTTTGAAGAAACTCAGCCTAATTGTACCTGGGAATGGCAGTAGACAACTCTGCCCAATAAGGGCATTAAAACCAGGGGTCCTGACTCTCTAGGGTGAGGGTCTGTGTTGTCCCATCAGGCCAATCACTCAGTCCTGCAGAAGTGCTAACAGAAGGGCATTCTGGGAAGAATGAGGGAAGAGGGATATGATGAGTATTACTCTGGTCTTGAGACTGGCTGCAGCATCAAGCGTTCTTGATTATCCAGAATCTCTATAATGTTAGTTATCCCACTAACATTCCTATCATGAAAAACTTCCCCAAACTGTGACTACCCAGTGTTCTTGAGAAACTGTAGGCTGCATTGTGAGAAGCAATGCATGAAAGCAGTTGAAGGGGTGGACTGTAGCAGACACTGCTGGTCCCTCCTAGGTCCTTTTAATGGGCTGGTGGATCCATCTTCCAGGTGCTGGAAGGTCTGACTGCATGGCTACCTAATTCTCTGGCAAATTGACATCAGCTAACAGGATTGCTTTTGTCACATGGGACAGCTGACAGCCAAGGGTAGATTGACACAGGAATAAGACCCAGACCCTTTGCCTCTGGGTGGACCATCTCTGACATAATTCATGGTCCAGAGAACCTTGTGGAATCAGGCTGAGGCTCTAGGCTCTGAGGCCACATCCCTGCTTAGCTATTATCCCCTGCCTGTCCTAGTCCCCTCTCCCTACTTTCTCACTTGAAAAAAAAATCACTTGCATAAAATAAAAATAGCACCACAAACCATAAGAAATCTGGCAATTAATTTAACTAAAGATGTGAAGCATCGTGATCACACCAAGTAATTTTTTTTTGGTATAATCAAATCATTCCTTAATCTCACAATTTCTTGAAATCATTAAATATCCAGTCACTGTGAAAATTTCCCAAAAGATTATAATTTTTGAAATATAGTTTGCTTGTTAGAATCTCTATAACTTTTCTATTACTCCTGCAGCACATTACCATAAGCGTGGTGGCTGACGCAATAAATTTATTATCTGACAGTTCTGAAAGTCAAAGTTGGATGCACATCTCACGGGGTTAAAATCAAGGTATTTGGGTCTTCCTGGTGGCCTAGGGGTTAAATCTCAGTGCTATCACTGCCACGACCCACCTTAATGATAGCCTGTGTTTGATCCCCAGCCAGGGAGCTCATCCCCATGGCACAGCAGACCTCTCCTGTCTTGCCTGCTGCTCCCCTCAGCAGTGTATTTCAGTAGATATCCTGCCCTGCTCCCCGCTCTGTCTCTGGTGAATCCTCTCACCACCCCCCCAAACCTCTGGCTTGCCCCCCAGTTCTTCTATGCAATAATAAATAAATAAATAATTTTTTTTTTAATCAAGGTATTTGTAGGGCTTCATTCCTTTCTGGAGCTTCCAGGGGAGAATCCGTTTCCTTGCCTATTTCTCTTCTTGATTTTCTTGAGTTGTCACATCTTCCTGACACAGCCAGAAAAAACTTTTAAAGGCGCATGTGATTCGATTGGTTCCACCTGAATAATCCAGAATAATCCTCCCCCTTCAAAATTCTTAATTTTAGTCACATCTGCAAAGTCTCTTTTGTCACATAAGGTGACACATTCATGGATTCCAGGAATCAGGACATGTGTATCTTTGGAGACTGTTCTGCCATCACAAGACCCAAACAACATTCATATGCTGTGGTTGGTTGGTAGATCTCTTAAGTCTTGTAAAATCCATAGATCCCTCCAGCATAACTTTTTTTGTTCTTGCAAATTATGATTGGGTTGTCAGAATTCCAGCCAAAATGAAAGTTTCATTAGTCAAGACTGGTCCTCCAGCCTAGATTTTTCTGTATTGTCATGGTTTCTTTAAAGTGTTCTTCTGTTACCTGTTTTTCTTATAAATTGGAAGTTGGATGTAGAGGCTGTATCAAATTTATGTTTATTTCTTTTTGGAAGACTACTTCAGGGCAGGTATTTTTGTATTTTTGGGGTGTTATCAGTAGCCATTAATGCTCAATACCCAAGTCTATTCATTCTATAGGCATTGCAATGGGTGAAAATCTAATTCTATAAATCTGTGTATGTTCTTATTCTGGAATGTGTTTATAAACTATCTTCTACTATTTGGTTAGTTCTAAAAGAACAGCTCTTTTAGGAGAGAGAGGATATGTGCTTCTTCTTTCCCTTTATTTTCTTTTTTTTGAAATATAGAGTTGGGTCACTCTTGCCTCTTCTACCCATGATCGTTGAGTTTACCTTTGATTGTCATTATAAAGTGAATGATTTTAGCATATTTGATGACCAACTTGAATCTATATTGTAGTTTTAGAACAATGGTACCCAAAATTTCCTCTTGCAAGAATCCCTCTATTCTATCTCCAAGACTCCTTAATTGAAAAGTTTGCTCACTAAATGCACTGCATAAAATAAGAATCAATGAGTTGCCTACATTTTAATAAACTAAGGCCATTAAGCAAGAATTGAATAAGGTTGTGATCAGCAGGCAAATCCCAATGTGACTATACTTCGGTTGCCAGAGTTCCAGGCAAAATAAAAGTGTCATTAGCCAACCTGGTCTTACCCTGTGCAGCTACCCTGGGGATTGCTTGAATACTCATGCTCCCATCATTGGCTCCAAGAATCCCTGTTTAAAGCCATTGACTTGATCACAATATCCATTAATGATGGAGTTCTCCCAATGGGATTGACAATGTTCTCATTGAACATTGACTCATTTAATTTTCATAGTAACACTAAGAGGTGGGCATTATTATGTCCATTTTGTGAAGGAGAAAGTTGAGTCACAGAGAGATTAAGTGATTTGACTGAGGTCACAGCTGGTAAGTGATGGGGCCGGGACTGGCAGCTCTGGGCCAGTGGTCCCATGTGGCAATTCTTGGCTGGGTAGTAGCTGCCTCTTTTAGACTAGACATGTGTCCTCCAGTTCCCCACTGTCCCTGCCTGGCCCTCTTCATTTATTGATATTGCTTCCCTGGCCTCTTCAGGCATTTGTGTTTGAGCTTTCTGACATGCCTTACCTCACCTTTAGAAGTCTTGTGATTCTAGAGAGCTTTAATTGGGTTGGTAATAAGAATGGATGCCTCATCTGAACCTGTCCAGGGAATAGAGTTTTATTTGTCCTGGATCCCACGCTGGGCTGGATTTATAAACCCAGAATCCCAGTGCCAAATTTAGCAGAGTGAATTACTTTGTTTCCCAAATGTAGGCCACAGCATCTAATTTGAGCTGTAACTTAGTAACTGTGTGTGCAATTACCCAGTGAGGTGATGGGTGATGGACATGTTCAAGATGGGATCTGGGAGCGCTGGACCAAATAATTTCCTTTTTCTTCTTTCTCCTGCCACAAGAAACAATTTTCTTCACCGTTGACTGTCTTGGTGGTTTCAACTCTTCCTTTGATCCCTGGAGACAGCATTGAAGGTGTGGCTCAAAGACCATCCAGCCGGCAAGAGACCATGAAGCTCAAGCCCCACATCACAGATGTTTTCTGTGTTGCTGCATCTGGTGCTCTGCGCCTTTCTCAGTAACATAAAGAGCCAGGAGTGTTTCCCTTATCAAAAACCTTGGTTCTATGAAATAAATAGGGGACTTGGGGGCTAGATAGATTTTATTTCCATATAAGTTATGGTGGCTGCCTTTAATGATGCACTTTAATATATGAACCCTATATGTGCTAAGTATCTTAATACATTATCTCATTTAGAATGTATAGTAACATAACACATGTAAACTGAGGCACAGAGGGGCAAAGTGATTTGCTCAAGATCACACACCCAGCGAGTGGCAGAGCTGGTCAATGCCCATTGAAGCTGATTCTTGGGAGGCAGAGGACTTCCCATTAGAAGACTGGTCAGTGACTTGGCAGAGTTTACAAGCAGTTAACCAGCAAGGAGGGAGCTGGTCAGTTAAATCCTGTCTCACGATAATATTCTGTGAGTTCAAAATCCTATGGCAATGGAAGCAAAGCCTCTTTGGATACTCCACTGAAATGTAAGACGTTGTACCATTGAGCTCCTGGCTAACTTGGGCCAAAACAATTGATAGGAAGAAGCTTTGAATCAAATAGCTGAACAACAGATCCACGAACAGAAAGGACTTTGGCTCCCTGGGGATTCAGGCTGCAGAAGAAACCAATGGCTTCAGGGCTTGTTGGTCATGATGTATCATATTAACTCCCCATATTTCTGATCTATCTTCTGATTAAGATCTTAAGCACATAAATACTCAGATTCCTAGGAGAGCAGTGGTCTCGATCTGATCATGGGCCTGTCCCTCAGTCAAGAGAAGACAGGACATTTTGATTGACAGCTCTCAAAGAACTGCTTTCTTTCTTTCTTTTTATTTTTTTAGATTTATTTATTTATACAAGAACTGGGGGACAGGCCAGAGGCACAGGGGTGTGTATGTGAGAGAATTCACCAGAGACAGAGAGGGGAACAGAACAGGCAGACAAGTGAAAATACACAGCTGAGGGGAGCAGCGGGCGAGACAGGAGAGGTCTGCTGCGCCACGTGGTTCTCTTCCTGGCTGGCTGGGAATCCAACCCCCACTGCAGAGGCTGCAGATAGCTTCACAGTGCTGCGCTCAACCCACTGCGCCACTGGGGAGGCCCCTCAAAGAACTGCTTTTAGTGGGGATGGGTGGGTGGGAGCAGGTCCCTGTATAAAAATGAAGGTGCTGGTAGCAGATGAAGAGGAAAAATACCACCCAGGTACAGTTCAGTAGAAGTCCAATGTAGGAAACTTTCTGGGGAGGGACAGGATAGCTCAGGTCAAGGGCAGGTATTTTAGGAGTTGGGATAGTGATTGCTGGTCTTCCCCATCTGTAGAAAGAGTATGTTAGAGTCCACTCTCTACTCTTGACTCTTGTGATCCCCTGGCTCCTGCACTTAACAGCACCGGCTGAGGAGTGATGATTTCTTAGGCTCCTGACAGGTACATTCCTGGAACATAGTCACCACTGTCACTTTGATCTTCTCTCTCCCTTTGTTTGCAAAACATTTCCTTGTGCTTCGGGAAAAGGATCTTCCCACATTATGGCAAACCCATCTTAATCCCTGTCAGGATTAATTATGCACAGATAAAAAGATACACCAGGATCATACAGTGATGATGTTCATGAGTGGGGAGAATGGTTTCTGGAATCGGGGGTGGGAACTGCCTTGGCCACATCACATCTCAATCATGCTAGCAGCTTCTCTGTTGAGTCTGTTTGGATCTTCCCCTTGTGTCCTTCCCCTCTGCACTGGTGCTAAGTCAACAATTCTCTTCCTTGGTTGCAAATTAGAAATGCTTTGGTGGAACTTAAGATATTGAAATCTGGGGTCTCACTTTGGGCTTTGGTGTAATTAAGGCTCCCCAGGTGATTCTGTTGGGCAGCCAGAAGTCAAACCACTAATACTTCAGGTTACTGGGTCTCTCTCCCCTAGTAAAATGCAGATTCTGGGATAGAAACTTTGTCATGGGCTTTTGAAAGTACTTCATAGAGGCGAAGCAAATAGAACCAGGGAACCCTGGGTTCAAGTCTGAGTTATTCCTCTCACGAGCTGTGGGCTTTTGGGAAATGTCTTAACCTCTATTTTTATCAGAAAAGCTGAGGGGTACCCCAGGACCCCCAAATATGCCCTCTCTAAATAGATCCTGCCATCTCCCATGTCAAGACAAAACATATTCTAGTGGAAAGGAACTTTAATACAATTAGTGTGCAATAAAGACAAGCAAGGGAAATTAGTTTTCAAATAGTTCCAAAATAGGGTTGGCTCAAACCAGGACCACAAAGGCCCAAAGCTTGACACAAGTCTAAGGCACCTTTTGGAGGGGACCCCTAAAAAAGGGGGCAAAGTGTCCAGACAAGTCTGGAAGTAAAAGTGCAAAATCAAAATCAAGATAAATGCTGCCATTGTTAATCTCCCTGTGGGTCTTTCACCCATGTCTGTTTCAAGTGTCTCCTTCCATGTCCCCAAGACCCTGGTTCAAGTCCATGGCTGAGAAACAAGCACATCTCTTCACGTCTTTCTGCCCCACATGTCTCCTCCAGGTCTCCTTTTGGCTCTCCATCCTCCTTTTTTCATTCTCCAGCTTCTTCTCCTCCTTGATAGCCCCACCCTTCCTTGGGTGGGGCAGGGATCCTGGAACCTCTCCTTTCCCTGGGGACCACCCTATTACACTATGAGATGTAGCTTCTTCATCTGTGAAGTAGGGTTAATCATAGAACCTCTCTTATAGGGTGGGTTTTAGGATAAATGAACTATCACCAAAAGTAAGCACTTGGCACAATGCTGGGTGTAGAATAAGTCTCACTAAACATTAGCTGTTGTTGTTGCCCCCATTATTATTATCTGGCATTTCCAATTTTTATCTGAATATTAAATACTTGGTGTCTCACTCTGAACAAGATAACTCATAGGAGGCCCACTGAAATTATCACTGCTGTGAAGCAAACTCAAATTTTAGTAAAAGAGAAATGTATGAAAGAGATTATTCAGTTAAACCAAGGATGCAGGCCAGGGAGACATCAGATTTTCCAGGTAACCTTATATGTACAAAAAACACACATTTTTTCTTAATGAAGGAAAGAAGACACCTAATTCATTTCTAGCATTTGCAGCTAACTGAGAGGTTAGTTTCTAATACACTTTTAGTTAATTGATAAAAGAGAAATACAGTTCATTTCTTCAAAGCAGCCCCTTGATCTTACAGAGTTAAATCAGCCAGAGCTGTCTGTGTTTGGGAAGATGTAAGGAGCAAAGTTTACTTGAATCTCTTATCCTAAAAGTGCCCTCACAGACAGGGGGCACAGCCAGGCCATTATCTCCTGCTCCTTCTTCTTGCAACTTGCAAACATTACAGAGGCTTGGTCTGTGGACTTGTCCAAGCTCCTTGCCCCGGGTTCTTCACAGTGAGCAAGAATCATTGTTCTACTGACTCCAACCTCTGGAGGCCGCGTTAGCAGGGTGAAGGTAGACTTTTTTCAGCAGAACAAAAATGTAGAATTTTCTCTTCTTGGTACACAAATAAATGATTTTACGACATGCAGCAAAATCTCCAGGTCCTCACTCCCCAAAGTGTGGTGCATGGAATAGCACTGTCTCTTCAGGCCTTGTTAGAAATTCAGAGTCATAGGCACTGCCAGGCCCTTGAAACAGAAACTGCAATTTAGCATGACCCCCAGGTCACCTGTGTGCACTTTACTTTAACCCTTGAGAAACCTTGAACTAGAATATTCTGAGCCTAGGGCCCTGGGTGTGGGTAATTCTTTTCTACAGCCATCAGGCAAGGTAATTAGTGAGGGAATTTCAGGCACTGAGATAGGAAGACACTTCCGAGCAAAAGAGCTTCAGAAATCACTCTGTAGGACTTCTGAGCTCCTGACAGTGTTTCTCCTTTGGGACTACTCTTAAAGCCTCAGTATAGCTCTATCTGCGAGATGCTGGTATTAGCTCCACTTACCATAGAAAGAAGTGGAGGGTCAGAGAGGTACAGAACTGGCATAAGGTCACCCAGCTTAAAGGGGACAGAGTGTTTTGAACTCTTCCCAAGGGCTTTGCACATCCTCCTCTGGCACCAGGAAGCAAGAGGATAATTCCCCATCCCCACTCTAGGGGATGGGCTGGGTGGCCACTCAGCATTCCTTCTTTTATACCTTTTCCAGAGACCGGGAAAGCCAGCCAGGGACACCCCCTCAGCCCCCTGGGGGCTGCCGCTCCATTTGGTTGTACAGAACCACTAATTCTGATGATAATCTCTCTTCTCCCTAAAGTGAATAGATATTTGCATGCAGGCTTGGTCCTTATGAGCATGGCTGAGCATGTGTAAGCCCAAGCACTCTGGAGCTGGAGCAGAAGTGCTCCCCAAAGCTTGGGGGCTGTCACGCTTTCACAAATCTTTCTTTAAGCAGAGAATAAAAACCTCACACTATTGGAGTGGAAGGGCCAAGGGCCCTTTAAGCTACAGGTAGTATTTAGTGAGTGGTCCCAGCACCTCCTGGTATTTGACTCACAGGGTAATTAATGCTGTTGGGGTGAGCGAGAAGCAAAACCTGTGTCAGATGTAAGAGCAGAAGAGGTGAAAAAACCATGTCAATTACAGTTGGATGGTAGAGGAGCTGGGGGTCCTCAGGAATGGCGCCTGGGCCCTGGCTGTTGCTAGGCAGCAGGGATGATGGAAGGCGGTGAAACAGATGGATCTTGGTGATGCTGGTTAGTCCATATACAGAGTATTCTATGCTGGCACCATGTGAATTCTTTATAAGTACTATCCATCCCATGGAATCCTCTGGACCTGCACTGTCCAGTAAGGTGGTCACTAGCTACTTTTAAAATGTAGGTTTATATGAACTAAAATTAAGTTCTGTAAATTGCACTACTCACATTTCAAGTTTTTGATAGCCACTGTGGCTAGCGACTGCCATTTAAGACCGTGAAGACAGAACATTTTTGCCTCAGAGCATATACTCCTGGACGGGGTTAACCTAAACTCAAACTGTGTACCATCAATATCACTTAAGAGAGAGAAATTTTCTGTTATGAAGACAGAATCTCAGCCCTTTCTGCGCATCTACCGAATCACCCATCTGGGAAGTTTTTGTACATCATGTC